AAAGCTTCGAGATTCAAGTGAAGGTACAAAAATGTACATGTATATTTGTATATATACAAGATTTCGGAAGATTTAAAGATTTCAGTATTGAAATGAAAAAGGTGTCTTGAATATACAGTATTCATAAAATTTCTTGATTGCATGTAAAAAAAAGGTGTTTTCGCCTCTATATGAAATATTCAGAAAAAAATTAAAATCGGACACATTTTAAATAAAAGGTGTTTCCTCAATTCACTTTGGGAACTGAAATAAAGTGAAAACTTGTGCAATAACCTGTGTCATTTTATTTGAACTACCTAGGAACTGTACTATCATTTACTTAAGATATTGAAGAATCCATTGATACAATGAAATTATTTTTCATTGATTGCATTTTAACAGTTAACATCACTTGTGTATTTATCTTAATTGTTGATTTTATTATCATGCACTTATCATAATTAACATACATATGTAGATGGCTACTTACTATTACATTGTAGGTGATTGATGATGGTGTGATATGATAAATATCTCCCCCTTTTGCCTGTATTATTTTGAGTGTATGATTTATTTTGTTTCATATGTAATGTATAAATGTGTTTGCATACCTGTTCAGAATTTCTGCAAGTTCTTCTAATATTGTAATTTATTTCCAGATGTACAATGTATGTTTAATTGTTCACATGTTTCCTTACATACTAAGCTGTCACATGAACATTCTTTTATTCTATTTGTATGATGTAAGCAGGATATCACTTATGAAAAATTCTGAGTTCAAATTATGCTTTAGTAGTAAAGAAATATTTGATCTTGAATTAAAAAATAATTCTTTTGAGGGGAAATAGCTGCCTTTCCAGTTAGATCTGAAGTTTCTAATTTTTTTTTTAAATCTATTCACCCAGTCTGGCAGTCACATGATATAATGATTCTGTTTGCCCTTCGGCCTTTGCATCGGTATTTCTGGTATGTGGAATTGATCGATTGAAACAAGGGAATTTCGAGAGTTGATGAACTATTTTACTATGAATAGATTCTGTAATGATAGAAATGAAGTGAAAAGTTATGTCACTTATCAAACATCAAAAGTAAGCCAAGAGCTAAAAAAGACTGACTCTGATCTTTTGGTTGCATCACAGCATCTCACGGCTGAAGGATAACTGACACAGTATTTTTACCAGTATAATTTTATAAAACGGTCTTCGGATATGGCTAACTTGAAAGACAGCTATTTCAGTGTAAGGAGAATTGTAATTGGCTTAGGTAACAGTTTTTATTGTTTATCTATTACATTAAGCTTAATGTTTTTAATGTCATATTCATTTCCATGATAAAGATGGTTGTTTACATTGTTAAATGTAAATAAAATGTGTCGTACCGACAGACAGACAGAGGTCACAGCTGAGTTGTAAACAAAATAGTGAAATATCTATGAAGGACACACTTACAGTGCAAAGAAATAATTTAACATGATACAGCATTTTTTCCTTCTTATTGTTACTTGATATATAGTGTAGAACCTTTCATCCATATTGATTCTGACCAGCCATTGTTGTGGAGAGCATTATTATACATGTATGCTGTCAACATATCAAAAGCCATGTAGGTAAACTGTCCCAGTTCTGATAAATGTTGAATTTCTAATTGAAGACATATATGAAACAACAAAATCAATAACGATATCCCGTGACCTTTTCTCTTCAAAATAGTGACATCTTTAACCTAAATATGTCCTTCTCTCAAAAGTTTTTCCTTAAATGGTAGTGTCCTCTGTAGCTATTTTCACTATGGTTTGCCAGATTTGTGTTGCAGTGTGTCTAAACTAATTTATATCATTAGACATTATAGTTTGTATTGCTTTGCTAGAACTTACAGCAGTCTCCAAGAGATTTGTACGACTATGATGTTGTTAAGAGGGAAATGAATGAGAACAAGAGACAGGCATATCTGGACTATCTACAAAAGGTACAGGACAGGGAGACATCTTTAACTGAACAAGGCTAATTTATGACCCAGAGTCATCATACATAGTTATACTCTGCTTAACGGGGAATTACATCTCATTACATAACACAACCCATTTTAACCATAAACTAGAAACTTAGTGGTTCTGATATCAACACATTAACTTTGCATGTCCTTACACTTAAGTATTTGAAAAAAATGTTTAAAGAAATTTGGAAAATAAGTAATTAATAACTAATTATATTCTGGGGTATACTGTAATTGAATTTCCTCTGACACAGAGTACAGACTGTCACTGTAGATTGTTCTGATTATAACTTTCAGTGACATTCCTTGCTAAACCTAACAAGTATGTGGTACTGTGGCTGACCAGTGTTGTGTAGTGATGTAGATGTTACTTGTGTGTACTACCCTCCTTTGATATTGTAAACTACACAACAGTGCTTGATCCAGAAGTTTTCTTGCTATATATGTTTGATTTATTTTTTGATGAAAATCAACAAAGCTACACATGCTTGCTGTAGTCATGAGAAAAAATCTAGATCCACCACTGTACAGAAACGATAGTTTGGAAAAATTTCATTTTTAATCTGACCTCTCTTTGAGTATTCTCTATTTCATGACTTTCAAATCTGCTTCATACTTATTGAATAATAGACATATTACAAAACATGTTTACCAATTTGATCCTCCCTAATATGGAAGAAATATTATCCGTTATTTTGTAAATCAATATTGAAATTTCTTTGCAATGCATAATTTCAACATTTACGAGAAAAAAGAAGACTTAGATTACTGTGTTATTTTAAGGTAAGAGGTTGTGAAAAGGAGTATAGCTGGTAGTATCTGATACTTTAGATATTGAAAGTTTTACTCTTGAAAACTAAAAAAAGACACAGATAAAGAATTTAGGTCAACTTAGAACAGATGTCTTAAGTAAGGTTAACCACAACTAAAATTTGGATTGAAGATTTAGAAAAAAAAATGTGTGGAGTTTGCTTTTAGCCAAATAATACTCTAGCTAGTTAATAACTGATTAAGTTTTCATTCTTAAGGTATGTACATGTTTGTGTCTCTTGTGATGCCCTGTTGGGAATCCAGTTATCTTATATCACAAGCAATGCCTGTTTGGAACTTGGTTATCTTACACCTTACAGAGTGTGTGTCAAGTGATGGCCTTTTGGGAAATCACTTATATATTACAGAGAGTGTTTCAAGTGATGCCCTGTTGTGAATCCTGTTTCCTTGTGTCACAAGTATTGCCCTGTTACAAATAATTTCCAGTTGCCCTGAAGAGGTCTTTCAATTCTTTTGCTGGTATGTCATTTCCTTGTCTCACCATAGGTTTTGAGAACAGAGGGATTCCTAGATAGTGATGTCAACCAAGGAGGAATATTCTTAATTTTACAAACAGGCTTGAGATTATTAGTTGCTAAACTCTCTACAAGCGTTGTATTCACCAAACTTCAGTATCTTCCCCCATAGATAAGGATTCCCATTTTTCACCCCAAGAGGATAAAAAATTATAAGTATCTTACAAAGATTATTTCAAATGATCCTTGCTTGGTTTTGTACAATAGTTGTGAAACTAAGATATTTCATTCAGAATACATACTACTATAACCACATGACATTGGGTAGGTTTCCCTGTGTTTATCTTTGGAGACAATTGCACCCTGTGGTTTTAGTAGTATGATGTAATCATATTCATAATAAAATTATTTTGGTTTTACCTTGATTGTACATGTATAATGTCACATCTTCGGATTATATCCCTTCGTCAGAAATATGGTACAATAATTAGAGCTATTTTAGTGACAGTACTTACTTACAAGTGTCTGTATTGTTTAGTTGTCATATCTTTGGTATCTTATCATTTGGTTTAAAGTTATGCGGTTGTTTGTTGCGCTGTTTCATGAGAAATACTCTATCTTCTCTCTGAAATATGAGGTAGGTAAACAGTGTTCCATACAGAGTGATTGTGTTTAATGGCTAGTTTGACAACAACTCACCATTAATCGGTGAATGTGTTTTTTGCCAGTGTATGATTTAGCCACTAACACTCACTCAGCTGTAGACGGCTGTCTGCCATTTAGCAGGTCCTACCAGTCTGGTTGGTTCACTTGTTAGTGGTATATTATCAGTCCTGTCTCATTTTCTGCTTCCTTGCCACTTAAGGGCCAGCCTGGTGCGCCCAGTGGTAGATTAACCTGGGATCAAACTGGACAGACCCAGCTTCCTGCTCAGCAGGGCAACAGAGGCAAGAAACATACTGTCAACTTTGGAGAGTGGGAAAAAGGATTTCAAGATGATAAACGCAAAGATTACAATAAATACCTCAAAATTAAACAGGTAAAGCTTGTGATCATCTCATGTGGGTGATTTTATATAAAGACTGATCTGTATATTTGTTCTTCAATTCCACAGTCATTCATTAGCAGTCATGACAAACTTTTAATTTTTAAGATTCAGGTTTTTAATGATAAAGGTATAAAAGTAAATTCCACATACAAAAACCCAACTTTAAATCTAGAAAAATTTGTAACGGTCTACAGTAGTTGTTTGTGGTCCATGGTATTTGATCAGAGGATGGATGAAGTACACAGTAACAGCATCACCTTACCATGTACTTGTTGGTGTCTAAGCCAAGGATTTCTAAAGTCAGATGGTGATAGATGTAGGGTTGATGGAATGCTGCACAGTTTTCTTCTATTTAGTAATGATGTAAATTATCAAATTATCTAAAGAGGGCTTCATTATAACTGAAATGCTGTTCTCACTGAAACTTTCAGGATATTTCATGAGACCTATGTACAGTTGTGAATTTATCAAAGTACAAATTTTATAAGCTATAACAAAAATAAAAAAAAAAGATTAACAAACAAAGATATGGAATAATGAAGTGGATGAAGAATGAAACAAGTTAAGATGGAACACTTGCATGCTGAATGATGGTTGACCAATTGTAAAATCTGCTTTAGAACCAGGGGCGTGTCCTGAAGAAGGAACCAACACCCCCATTAGAGGGCATGAAATTTGGGGAGTATGAGGAGTTTAAACGAGAAATGGAACCTGACCGCAGGAGACAATACAAGGAGGACTTAGAAAAGGTATGATAAAGTCAACTGTCTAGAATGCCAGCAGACAGACTCTACTTAACCAGAGATTCTGTTTCATCTAGAGAGTATTTTATTGGACAATAGAGAAATATGTTTGAAATCAAACAAGCTACGAGCAAATTAAACATTTATGTGATTACTCCTACACTAAACTTAGCTATCTCAAACTCTAACAAGTCAAAGACATTGTTTAACTTGGAGTTTTATCCAGTCCCAGTCAAATCTTCTCTCATAATCTTAATGGAAAGGTTACATTCCTATTGCTGAATATCGCAGTCAGTTGGTGAAATAACATTCTCCTGATCATTTCATAGCAAAAACGTGAACAAGCTTTGATTAAGATGAAGAGAGACTATCCCAACAAACTCCCTCTTACCAATATCTCACCTCGAAGAGCGGAGGCAACAGATCGCAAGGAATACCAAAGCCAAATCGATGAGAGGAAACAGAAACAGTTCAGTAAGATGTTGGCCCAACAACCAGCAGTGAGAGATGTCCGACCTCAGAACACACAGGTATCTATATAGATTTAAAAATTCAAATTTCCTGCATCAAAATATGTATGTTGGCTGTATAGCTAGAACTAACATGTCACAATTGTTATATTGTACTTAGTGTTATTTGTCCTACAATAAACCAAGGGAAAGAGGGAGGGAAAGTGAGGAGGGAGGGGGAGGGAGATTCAGAGAGGTGCATCACCTTTAGGATTGTACAGAACATTGAAGTAACATGAAACAGCATTTGTGAGAGATAGCATTATTTGTGAGTGATTTACTGAACAGTAATATTCTGAGATTTAGCCAAAACTTCAGAAATATCTATGATTTACAAGAAAAGGTATGGAAACAACATCAATTTCTAAGTGTAACAAAGCAATAATGGCTGTGATCACAGATAATCAATATAGAGATTAAAATTAATGTTATGACAGGATCTTAAGGAATACAGACTTCCATATCGTACAAAAGACATTAGAGACATGAGCTTAAACTAAGCACTTTTACATAACAAACATGCCAAAAATTGATTGATATAGTAAAGACTAGAATTATTACATTGCATCAGTTTTAGGAGTATTTGCCTGTCTCTCATTTCCTAATCTTTTCACCTGAAAATTCCTTTAGCAAAATGCCACTTACCCAATACTAATGAATGTTACATACTAATGTACTATGCCAGCACCACCCACCACGCCCATCTATTCTGTTCCAGCCCCGACGTAGGTCGCCCTCACCAGAATTCAGTGACCCAGGGATGCAGCTCCAGGCTGACCGTATACGAGCAAGGATAAGAGATCTACCTACACGTCCAGAAGAAGTTGAAGAGCTGCAGGTATACGTCAAGGTCATACGATCAATGACTGGGTCAAGGTCAATAAAAACAAGTGACTTATCAGACTACATGGCCTTTGATTGCCTTATGTATTAATATTATATATGTTGTAGGTTTTAGGGACATTGAAAAATCTGTTTCTCTTTTCAGGAAATCATTGAAATGTGGACTTTAAAGTTGATCACATTGCCACAGACAGAGCAAGAAATTTGTCTCTTTTTTTTTTATATGTATACAATACAGAGATTGTGTTCAGATGGACAGTCAGTGTACTGTCAATTGATTCTAATGGCTCTTCAGAGTTATGAGCTATTTAGGGTGAAAGTGTTTGTGAATGGAACTTGGTCATACATGTATTTGGTAGGAAAGTAGGTGTGAAATTCCTGGCTGGAATAGGAGCTTGCAAATCATGGGGTTTTTTTGTGAAGAAAGGTGACAGATTTGTGAATGTGAAAAAAGGTTTACACCCTCAAAATCCAAGAATGCACATCACAATTTTTGCATGTTAAGTCTTTTACAAAGCACTTTGTACATCAATTTCAGGGGATCACATTTATATTCACAAACAAATACACAGTCATGTTATGTTTTGTTCCTTTCCTTTATTTTTTTCTTTCATTTATCCATAATCACTAATGTTGGTGTTGACCAGAAAAATCTGCAAACCATTTCAGAACTGTATCTTTTGATGTCCTGGGGATACTGAATAAGAGAGTTTTCCCCGCTTATGAAGGAGATTTTTCTTACCAATTTTGGCAGAGTCTGTTTGAATGGGAAAGTCAACATAGTGTAATTATTCTCAGAATTACCTGTAAGTAGGTAACTGATGCTTTTTAATTTCTCACAGTTTCAAAACATAAAGAAAAACTCTTCTGTTTTTGTTTGGTAATTCTAATTATGGAAATTGTGAAATTTTAATTTAATTTGAAAAAAAATCTAGTAAAGTCATTGTTGTGTTAAAAATTGTGATTGGATATCTAATGTATTGCATGATTAGCCCTTATATAAAATATCCACCTTATAGAATTGTTTAAAACAGGCCAGCGTAGTTCCAGCAGGACATGAGAAGAAATGTTAAGAAATGGTTTATTTAAATTAAGTACCTTCCTACTCAGACTCTGTTATATCAGGAGCTTTGAAGATTATGACGAGCGAAACTGTAACTGCTGTACATGAAGGCTTCCTTTCTTCTGATTTCTTTTTAACAAAATACTAGTATAACATTTTCAGAGAATTTTGTCTTTTACAAAGAAAACTACATAAGTGATAATATGATTCAAAGTATTCATAATGTTGATATCATCAGTGTAAAAGATCTGGTATAATTTCATTCAATTTAAAACTAAATGGAAAGTAAATACCTTTTTTTTTTGTATGTAATGAGTTGAAAAAAATTAGTTCTCCAGATTGATAAAAAATTTCTGTATTGTATTGTAATTGTGTTGCCAAATTTATAGGTATACATTTATGCATATTTTTTTAAGATGGAAGTATTGGGGTACAACAAAGGTTCCATGTGATATCTGTTTTCTTTTATCAGCGAAGACAACAACAACAAGATGCTCTAAAGAGAGAGTTGGATGATTTTTCACCACGTAATTCATATGAGGAGCGAAGGCCGCCTGTGGACCTCAGTCCTAGACTCGATGACTATGGCCCAGGCTTCTCAGATAGATATCCCCCACCCCAGGAGGACTACAGACAGCAACCACAGGTGAGTTTTAATGTAGTATTACAGAAAACGAAACTTTTTTTCCAGACAAGTTCAGAGACACGTTCAAAGCAGTTTGATGGAAACTCAACACCCCAGAAAGATTACAGAAGAACATGATAATTTGATATTTTCTTTTTAAACTTTTGTTGAATTCACAGGTGGATATGGTGTGTCTCATAATGGGACACTACACAAACACAAGCACCTGTTGCTGTATGACCCCCAGCAGTGGTCAGAGGGAGTAAATATCATCATGTAGAGAATTAGACCTGTGTCAGTGGTCTGTAGTCACTGGGTTAGACCTGGTAGAATCAGTTGTGTACCTATACATTTTCTGGTGTGTGGTATTGTTTTATATATATGATATACAGCAAAACGTAGCAAGCATACATTGCAGGCTTGAAAAACATCATCTACATCATCATGTTCATTTCTCATATAAATCCATGGAAAAGAATAAATGTAATATAGCTAATTTAAGGCAAACTGTTTTATTGCGTTTCATTCAGTCTGAAGTATCTTTAGGTGATATATATACAAAAGTAATCTCGGAATGGAGGGACTTTACTGTTTCCCTGTGCATGGTGCTAGTTTTCAGACAAAGTTTTGCTCGTTACTGCTAACAGAAATCAGATTTTTTCATGGATGTGATTTAGCATGCTAACTAGTCAGATTCGTATCAGGGTCAAGGGTCAAGGCCACAGCCTCATTTTGAAGACAGAAACCAGAATAGGCCCGAACCTCAGACATATGATGAGGATGTGCGGAGACATGTGGAACATCAGCGCCACCTGAAGGAAGAGGCAAAGAGGCGCAGAGAAGTAGAACTTGAAAATGATGAAAATATTAGAAAGCAGCTTGAGATTGTTAAACGACGTCAAGAGTTGGAAGAAAAGAGGAGGATAAAAGAGAAACTTGAAAAAGATACCAGGAGGCAGATGGAGGAGGAGAGACAAAGAGATGCAGAGCGGAGAAAGGAAGAACAGGAAGCAAAAAAACTGATAGCAGCCAGAAGACAACTTGAGGAAGAAGAAAAAAAATTACGTGAGAGAAAACACCAGGAGAGCGTCAAACGACAGATAGAGGATAAGAATAGGCAAGAAGCAGAAGAGAAGAGGAGGCTGAAGCAAGAACAACAACAGGATGAAGGGATGTTTAAGCTGCTGGAGAAGGGGCGGCAGAGGGAGGCTGAAGAGAAACGAAGAAAACAAGAATTTGAGGAAGAACAGTACAGACAGTTAGAGGAGTCAAAGAGATTATTGGAGGAAGGCAGACCATCTACTGTCCATGTCAGGTTCGATGACTATGCAGAGGAGGCAGTCCCAAGGAGACAACGTCCATCCTCTGAGCACATCCCAGGGTATGGAGCTCATGAAGAGCGGCAGCTGGAACAGAGGAGGAGAACTAAGGTACATAGGACTGCCACTGATGTGGGTGAAAGGTGTGACATTAATGTGGGTTAATGTAGTAGGATAGAAGTGTGATGTGGTAATACATTTATGACAGAAAGCTAGGTCAACATCAGAACAATTATAAATACATATTAGTGCCATGCAGACCTATAGAGATGATCTTTCAGGGTTATCAGGAAGTTTTGAATTTATTTGCTTAAAGTCCTATCAACAGCTAGGAACTTTTAAACAAAATGGCTTTATAAGGAAAAGCCAGTAATTTGTCTGTATGTACATGTATTACCAGCACCTGGGACTCTATATACCGAGTCAAATTAGGCAGAATGTCAGAGGTGTCTTCTTAACAGCTTATTAACATTTGTGTCATGGCTTTTAACATTGTCTGTGTGTTACAGTGTTCACCTGTTGTAGGGACGAATATCTTCGGCCGTGTGTTATGTAATAAGTGACTTAAATCATGCTGCTGTTTATATATGTCTAGCATTATCATGTAAAGGTCATATAACAGTGAAATGTTGGCTATATGCCTAAAATTGATTACCTACCTTGATTTCTATACAGGTGAGAGATTTTTATAGTTGACATGTATTGTGAAAATCCTTATCAATGAATGATTGATTTGTACTGTCGGGATTGGTTTCAAGTAATTATGGATTGCTATTTCTTGTGAAAAGATAAAATTTGATTGAACTGTACAATTCTGCTCTGTATGTATTTGGATTTAAAAAGAAAAGAAATTGATTAATGATGTTGTAATCATTTTGTTGTGTTTCTTAAAAAGACAACAGAGGAACATCGGAAAGATAAGATTGTTGTTGAAGAAGGTGTTAGCCTACCAATATCTAGTCATAAACAACGAAAGAAAAAGTTGATGGAGGAGAGAAATCAAGAATATAATGCTATTCTGGCACAGGTATTCCTGCACTGTGAATGACTTTGTGTGTATGGTGATGACCTGGCCTATTATCTTTGTGTATAGTGGGGATAGTTTGTTTTGTTAGACTCGTTTAAAGTTGTATTGTTAATATGCAGAACAACCATGATGCAGTTTTAAGATTTCCACAAAGGTTCAGTAAACTAGAGAATATTTTTTATAGCTAACTTATGAAATAATTTTACACTTTTTAAAACAGGATGACAGGGGTCCAATAGATTTTAGTTTTTGCTGCTACACATATCTTTATTCAGAATTAGTGCATGCTCAGTAATAATTTTATTTTCTTTCTATTATTTAATTTTTGCAATTTTGTAGTTGATACCAATGGAAATAAAGAAATGATAGCTTAAACGATTTGTCACATGCGTATGATATGTGTTGATATTAATCTGCTTTTTGGAATTTTTAAAATTACAGTTATTTTCATCATAGATATGAAAAAGTTTTATTATTCAATCATTTGCATTTTGTAAATTAGGCAAGTTTTAAAATTTACCAAATTTATGTACAAATGCTACCACCAGGACAATAAAAAGGACAGAACCAAACAAGAATATTCAGGGGAGGGGTTGAGTCTGCGCGTCTCAGACTCGGGTCACAAACAGCGAAAAAAACAGCTTGAGGAGGAGAGAAATAAAGAGTATAATGAATTGGTCGCCCAGGTACTTCAGCACTTTCAAAGTTTTTTTTTTTTCATTTTTAATTAAGTGTTTTTTCTCGATAGATCTTGTTTTCAAGGCAAAATTCAAATATGATATTAAAACTTATTCATTACTTAGCTCTATGTGAGTCCCATACCAATCCTTGCAATATTCATTATTGTTCTCAAGTTTGTATTATTGTTACAAGGAAACAATATGAAAAAGAAAACAATCAGACATGAAAGCAAAATTAATTAGTTTGAGATATCACACGCTCGGGCCACAAGCAGAAGTGGAAAACACATAGAGAAGGAGGAACTCGGACAATGTCATAAAATGGTGGCCAAGGCACAGTCCTGATTTTACTTCTTGAAAACTAAAATGAAACAGAAATGGTTTTCAGTTTGAGTTTTATATTGTAGGGGATAGAAAAAGTAGAATTGTAGAATTGGTAATTATGACAGATTTTTTTGTGGTCATATCTGAAATTACACTCATACAGAGTAAAAAACAGGTAGATAGGGAAGTGGTCTTATCAGGGCAAGGGGTTAGTCTGTATATATCAGTCTGGTTCTAAACAGAAAAAAAACAGGAGGAGGAGGAAGGAAACAGATTATAAAGTAATGATAGCTCAGCTTTAAAAACACAATTTAGATTTCTAGAAATTTTCTATTTTTCTCTGAAAATTCTCTTTTTTTAAAGAAATATTGACATTTTTTCTGTACATGTATCGCCACTTACTTTTTTACAATATAATATTTGCCATTGATATGAGATTTTAACGTAACAATTTTTGATACATGTAGCTAGCTGTTATTCGATTTTGTTTTTCTGTTAATTAAACGTTAATTTATGCTAATTTGTAGGGCAATTTGAAATGAAAAAAAAACCACACAGGTATTACCAATTTGATAATTGTAAAATGTGGTATAGAATAGTAATTCTACCCACATAGCAGAAGAGTTTACCTGCTCTCCAAGTATTTTCAAATAATTATTACTTTTTTTTTGTTCATTATCAAGAAAAAAATCTGATTTTCATACATAGGACACAAAGCAAACCAGAAAGAAACCTGAAACATTAGGTGAGAGGGTGAGTCTAGGTATATCAGACTCGGGTCATCAACAGAGGAGAAAATTACTGGAGCAGGAAAGAAACAGAGAATATAATGAAATAGTTGTAAAGGTATAAATGCACATTTTAGACTTAATATAATTTTTTTGTGACAAACAGTTGTATATTTTTGTTATAAATTGGTAGTTATTATAAATGTATTTGTGTAAAATGATATGTTGAAACAAAGCTTTGTATTACAAATTAGATCACCTTCTAATGTTGAAGCATATTACATATATGTATCCTTCAGTTCTTTAAAAAAATTGTATATCTTTTTTTAAACAAATTACACACATTTTTAAATAGAATTTAAAGCAAGCCAGTAAAGAAACCAATTTATCAGGGGAGGGGGCCAGTCTGCGTATCTCGGACTCGGGTCACAAACAACGGAAAAAACATTTGGAGGAGGAGAGGAACAAAGAGTATAATGCAATGGTCACCCAGGTACATACGCACATTTTTGTGTTTCTAGATGTTCATTCTGTGACAAGGTGTCATGTTTTTTGTTGTAGACTACAAAATTGTAAAATGTTACAGGATTAGATTTTGTCATGACACTGTCAGATAAATATCTTATCATATTGCAAACTATATTTTGTAATATTGTTGAAGCATATTACATACATTAACAAATCAGTTATGTGTAAAGTAGTATATTTTTTAAGATAATTACACTCCTCATTGAATAGAATATAAAGCAAGTCAGAAAAGAAAGCTATTTATCAGAGGAGAGGACAAGTCTCTGTATCAGGGACTCTAGTCACAAACATAAAAAAAAACCCAAAGAAGACAGAAATATAACACAACAGTCACCAGTAGCAAATCCTCAGTATAAGTTTTACTTTGATGATGAAACATCTTATCCCTAAATATCTTTTGTGTAAAGTTTTTGTG